AAATACTCTGAATGAATACTATAAGGAAAACTAATAAATCTTTAGGCTTCTACTTGCCGTCTTCCTGCGTAACGGGTTCGGGAACCAAGTCCTCGTGTAAGAGATGTTAATCATAATCTATTTTATTTCGTTTCCGCACTGAGAATAAATATATACATTTCCTTTTAATTTCTGAGGCCGTTACACAAATAATTATTATTTACACTATTCGGATAAAATATAAAATTTTTATAACCAATGACTCTAATTGTACCATTTTAATAATTACTTGAAAGTGACGTGAATGAAAATAATAAAGATTATTTTTCTACACAACCAACACAATAAAATAAAAGTTAACTTACCTATTTCAAGAAGACATACAGAGGATGAAGAAAAACAACATCATTCAAAGAAATTAGAAGAGTTGAACGATGAACTGGAAGTCGACAGGTCAGTGGATAGTTATAAGAGATGAAAAATTGTATAGATGTGAGAAATAAAATTGTTAGATGAAAAAATCAAATAGATCTAATATAGTTTAGCATCAACTCACAAAGGAGATAACACTAACCTCTAGAAATAAAGAAAACTCTTAAAAGGAGACTATATTCTAGTGGGGAACAGTTTTGTGGACGGTAGAAAATGAGAGTTTTGTATATAGTTTATGAAAATTATTGAACTTCTTATAGATTTTTTAAATTCTACAAGAGCTGTTGTACTTCTTGTAAATTGAGTTTTGTGTGTATTTTATGAAAATTATTAAAATTCATATATATATATATATTAAAAATTTCATAGAAACTATTCAACTTTTTATAATTTTTTTCTAAAAAATTCCAGTATATTTGCCTATCAATTTAAGGTGGCCATAATTAATTTTGCTTTCTTTCATGTTCAGGATTTCCGGTTCACCCAAAAGGAGAGAAAAAGAAGAAAGAAAATCGCCACCGGATCCGGTTCGCCTCAGCTCATTTTCACAACATAAGAGTCTACTCGCCTCTCTCTTTCTCTCTCTCTCTCTGCCTGGCAAGACAAAAATCAGAGCAGCCAAATTGCAGAAGATAACAGGTACAGGAAGGGGGACAAATATAGAAACTCTGCTGTAACAATCTGTAAGCCTTAGGGTTTTAGTTTGACGTTTGTACCTCTCCCTGATCAAGGTTTTGCTGGCTGGAGCTCCGACTAGCCAATCTATGGATTCGTTGAGTTCGAATCGGATAGACATATTTGAGATTTATCGAAGATTTCGTGGTAACTTCTTTTACTCATTTTCATTTTATTTACTTTCGTTTTGTAGCATCTGCTGATTTTCTTTTTTGTTCTTAATTTTATTTTATCTGTTTTAACCTTGGCACTTATGTATATATGGATATGTGTGTATATATATATATATATATATTATCTTATATATAGAGAAAGATAGAGAAAAAGATATTTGATTAATCTTCTTTCCCATCGATTTCAGGAAAATGTTTCTAGGAAAACTGGCAATCTTGTATTTCAGTTTTATTATTTCTATTTTCACTAGAAAACCGGCAATCTGGGATTATGTCCTGCCTCTTTTATATTTGGACCAATTATTTGAAGTATGCTCGACTAGATTGCTTAATTGGTTGCAGAGCAACGAGCTCAGACTAAAACCTTGAAAATGGTGGTTCTGTTTTTTCTTTTTTTGTCTTAGTTTTTTCATGTGGGCCGGGTTAAGTGAAAACAACTATTCTTTTAATATCGTGCATCGCTTATGATTGGTTTATATACAATTACAACCTCAATGCATGAGGTGCTTTGAATTATGTTCTTCATTTATTTATCGTATTAGATGCTATGGTACCTGAAATTAAAGAAATCTTTTTTGTCTTGCCTAAGATTCCCCTGGTACATATCTCTCTAAAAAAGGATTGATAGACCTATGAACTGGTTCAGTTTAGGTACGTCATTGACTTAAAACATCTAATGGTTTAATCGCATTTATGTTTGGAAGAAAATATAGTAAACCTGTTCAATTTTAGTTTGTGTATGCTGTTGGTTAAGAATAGTTTAGTAAGTTTGAGTTTTCTTTCTTCTATTGCAGATATTAGGTCAGGAAACACATATTTTAGCAGGGAAGAGGGATCCAAACAAGATGATGAGTCACATAGAGCTGCGTATTCCAGGGAGGCCTTGTCTCAGCTCTTGAAATTAGTGGAGTTAAGGTTCCACACAAGGTATACAATCTTAATGGTTACTTGGATTGGCATTTGCTTGGAGTAATAGATAATGTTGCTTGAACTTGAGACAGATGTTTTTTCAGTAAGAAATATATATTTTGTTGGACAAGAAACGGTCATCCTGTCTTTAGAGAAGTAATTATCCTATAATTTTCTCCAACTTCAGCACCATAATCCAGCAAAAAGAGCAACTCTTGGAAGCAAAGTATCCTTTATATTCTTCTCGTAACCCTAGAGCGAGGAATAAATAGGACTTTAGAATGAGGAGAAACCGATTGGATATTGAAAGTATTAAACAACTAGCCAATATGCTCCAGTGTTCATCACAATTCAGAACACCACAATCTAATAAAAAGAGTTCATCCAGAGAGCAACCTATCCTCCTTAGTCTTTCTAAACTCCAGATAGAGGAAAACCCTGGAATGGGAAGAGATCTCTTGGACACTAACAGTATCAAACAGCCTAGCCCACATCCTCCAAGCCACCTCAAAATGCAAGAAGAAGTGGCTATGGTTCTTGGCCTTCCGAATGTTGCCATCTTCCTCTATTTGTTCAAAACCGACTATCTTATATTGATATTTCCCCCTTCTGTCTGCTAAGAGGATGCTTATCCTCCCTCTTTTCATCCTCTTTCTCTCTTAATAATATTATCTTCGTCTATACAAAAACTCAAAACCACAAATACTGTGAAAATTGGTCTCCTCCCCAACCCCCAGCCTACCTGAAAATCAGCCTACTGAGATCATCCGTAATCACAATGAACAAGAAAGGGAGAGGGTGTCCCTTTTTTCTATGTCTCTTACATGATAATGATCATTGTTATTGGTGCCACGAAAAGGCTTAAGTGGTTCCAACTTGTCTTGAAATTTGCCCAATCACCCATCCAATTCTGGGAGTCTACCAGCCTTCTTAATGTCATATTTGTAAAAGATATCAGGTTGCTTGTTTCATTTATTGAGCTATTTTCTGGATCTGTACTGGCTTATATTTATGCTCCTGTTCAAGATTGTACCTACTATATGCATATTGAACACCAATTATCCATCTTCATTTTCTCTGTGTAGCCAAATACCGAATTTATGGAACCATTTCGAATCTTTCACCAATGATTCCTTTGACAGGTTCTCAATTTTTGATGAACTTTTCAAGCTGATGTCACGACTAGGCTTAATGGTAAGATTCTGGATCTTTGAAATTCTTTGTTGAAGTGTGTCTCTCTCTCTCTCACACATACACATTGATAATGTGATAGACCTGGTACTATGTCTTCTTTTTATAAGTATTTTAATTTTGTGGTAATTGATGTTCCATTTGTTGCTGCCGATCCATTTTACATGTACTCTTGTGTTTATTCTGGTACATTGTGGTTTTGACTTTTATCTTTTCCTCTTTCTATAGGTGGACTTTTCTGAGTTCTCAAACTTCTATGATTTTGTTTTCTTCATGTGTCGTGAAAATGGTCAAAAGAATATCAGTAAGTTTCTTTTAGTTCTTTATTAATGAATATCCATTTGTTCAGTGTAATAACCACATTTACTGATCCACTTTTTATGAGCAATTTACAGCTGTAAGCAGGGCAATTGCAGCATGGAGATTGGTTTTGGCTGGGAGGTTCCGATTACTTAACCAATGGTGTGATTTTGTTGAGGTATGGTTGTATTATTATACTAATGCTTCTAAGGCTCAACTTTCGATATGCATTCTCTTCTATGCTTCTGTTGCTCTTTCTGCTGGTGGCAATCTATTGTGTCTTGCATAAAAATTTACACCATTGCGAAAACTTAAGTGGATATGTAGCTGTGCTTTTTAGCTACCTTTTTTTTAGTCATACAGAGCTTCTTGATTGTACATGCTTAAAATTGAGGAGATGAATCTGTCTGGGTACTAGATAACACTGAGGTAGACGGCTCATTTTAATACCTTTTATGTGGACACCGGTACTTAGGAGAGTGATTAACTTATAGGGAGTTGATGTCATGCATGTTTTTGGGTGCTTCAATTTGGTGCCTGACATTTAAGTCATTATTTGAGAAAATTATAAAAGCAAGTACTTAACACAGTAATTAACTATAGATAGTTTATGTTATCTATGAATTCGGGTGCTTTTTGAAACTTTTTATATTTGCTGCCTGACATAGCTTTTAGGTTGTTATTTTAGAAAACTATTAGAAGTTCTATAAGTAGCATGGGTGCTCTTAACAGTGTCTATCATTATAGGCATGGTAGTCTTAGTCTGTGCCCAAGTTTGTGAATTTAGGTGTTTGCTTTCTTTCTTGTTGAGGTGTAGAATTAGCGTTGGCATACTAACGCAAACAAGAAGATTTATGATACACAGTATGATCAGGTAATTATGTAATTATGTAACTATGATATGTTATATTATAGATATGCAATTATCTTATTGTATATGTTTTTAGAAATATTTATATTATTTAGGAAATATTAACTAGTTTTAGAGGTTAGGTAATTTAATTTAGTTTAAGATTGAGCTTCTTTTTTCCTATTAAGAAATTCTGTTTTTTGATTGTTTTATTTTGGTATGTTGGTTGAATGGTTGTACCTATACAGTTGTTCTAGTATACAATTATTCGCTCTTATTCTGATTATTATTTAATTCTTTTTGAAATAAAAACATGCATATTACGTACAAGACCCTTTACAAGAATATTTACAAATCCGTTAGTACATCAAATACCCTCCCAAAATCATCCCATCCATACATATCATGATCCAGAATTAAAGTCCCAAAAGTATGTAACCATTTATCTCTAATC